TTTGAAATTCGACTTGAAATTTTGCATAGAAACAGATCTTAATGAAAACAGTTTATTGTGAATATTTCAGATCTTGTCGCTGCTCATATCGTAAAATACAATTATGACAATAGCCTATCTTTTTACATCATTCCTATAAACTAAAAATGCAGTACCTCCATAGCAATAAGCAAAGAGTATTTATAACTCATTTGACTTTATATAATGCACATAGGCTCGACTTAAAAGCAATTGAACACTTGAAGGACTTCCTTATACCAGAATCAGACTAAAAAGAATTCGTTCAAATTAGAAGTATGGATTGAAAAAAGTTTTATTAAAAGAGATCGGATATACAAGTTTTGAATCCGATGAAATCTACTGAGGATAAGGATGAGAACTGACTGAGTCCGAATCAATGATGCCGCCGATCGGCTATGTTCGAAAGCGCAGCAATTTAAACATCTTATTCCTACTACCATTTTCCGATCATAGGATTCAGAACTGAAAACCTTTGTTTTTCTTAAATTTTAGTTCTTACACAATTAGAAGAATTATTAAGCGATATGAAACAAGAAATAAATAAATTACCAGCAACATTAGCTCGACTTCCACCTGTTTCTCAACGACTTAATATGTCAGAAAGAAATATTCTATCTCGATTACAAAATGGTCAAAATCAACAATCATCAACTTCACCACCGGCAACAACAACAACAACAACAACAACAAATGGAAATTGTTATGCTTATACAAATTATTCAAATTTTATTGGTCCATTTGCTTTACCAGCAGCTAATAATACTAAAACAAGTAGTTTGAATTTTTATTTTTTTTATTGATTTTCATTTTCAATGATTAAAAATAATACTAAAACTTTGGTTTTTTTTTCCTTACTCATCAAAGTTTAAGTTTGAGTGTAAAAATAAAAGATAAAACAAACAAAATTTACTTGTAGCACAACTGTTGAAAAGCATAACATTAAAATTGATATCTTTTTTTAAAAAAAAAAAAAAGATAAATGATGTTCTTATTTAGTTTTCAATCTGACTATGCTCGTAAAAAATGTTTGTTTTCTTTTATTTGATAAACAATGCGAAAGAATGTATCGAATAAATGAGAAAATGAAAATCTTTGTTTGTTTTTTTTTAAATATTTAAATATCTTATTTGTATATATAGCTACTAATTCATCAAACAATGTTTCAGCTACTACATCAACAACATCAGTTGATTCATCATCATCATCAACAACAACAACAACAACAACACAAAAATCTTCAACATTAAATCTCATTCAATAGAATTTTGTTTAGATAATCTCATTGAAATAAATATCCCGATCTTGTTTGTCTGTGTTTAGGTCTGTAAAACAAATAACTTGTATATGTACACATGTCCTTTTTTCTCTTTTTTTTTGTTCTTCTTTTTTTCGTCAATTATTATTATTATTAGTTGCTACTTTCTTTTTTTCTCTTCTTTTTTTGTTGTTATGTGTTCAACAAATTTACATATGCGTGACATATAAATATTAAAAAGTATATAGACATACAAGATCAATTTAGATTTATTTGAAGTGACACATATTCAATCATAGTCTTTGATAATTGGAAAAAATATTATTTCATAGATGAGATAATATAGGATAGAAATTCGGATGATAAAATCAAATGATGAATTTTCGGATGATGACGAAATTCTTTGATTAGATGATATCGAGTAAATATATTTATTAACGATCTCTCAGTTGCTCTTTACAAAAAAAAGTCCATTTCCGTAAGATTAATCGAAAGAAGATAAATATATGTAGAGATAGCTTGAGGTCACATCCAATGATTTCCGTTACCTTCTGCTTGAACAATATGTTCTTTGTTTTTTTTTAGGAAAAAGCAGAAAATCTTTTTCATTATTTTTCTGTTTTTCTGAATGTGCATTCCAGAATTTTCGAACAAGTTTTATTGTTGCCAATTGCTATTTTGTGTTCCTGTTTGAAAGCACATGTGAAAGTGCAATGCCTAAACAGAATCCGGTTTTCTTTGTGAATTAAGCGTTTTAAATCGATAATCATTTTTCGAGGTGTTATTTTTCTATCACCGGATGAGTAAGAATTTATAAAAAAGAGAGTACAGCAATTTAACTATACAGAAAAATAAGCTTCTTTTGATCATTGTTTGATGAATATCTCCTGCAAATATGATCTAATGAAAATGCGATTGTTTTTGTTTTCGAATTTTATAGAGAATTTTATTTCCAATAAGAATTATTAAAGATGAGCTCAAAAATTATGCTTCCATATGAAATAACAGAAAGAAAAAACGAATTTGATGTCTTCTGTAAGAGTAATGAATGAATAAAATTTTCAATTATAATAAGTATCGACAAAGGTTTTGTCTATTGTATGTTAAATGAAATAATCAAAACATAGGATGTTACAAATAAATTCTTATGAAATTAGTTTTAAAAAAACAAACTTGATAATTGAATTTTTAATGAATAATTTTCGAAGGTGTGAGTGTGGGTATGTACTTAAGTGAGATTTTTTACTCACTCACACGCACAGTTTGTTTAGTATAAACATGATGAAACTTAATACATTTAGATTGTATACTAATTAGTTGATTTCATTAGTTTCAACAGATTATTTTTCAATATTGAAGATGTAACAGGAGACACTTGTAATATTGTTCGAACAATTATAGAATATCCGAATGAAGAGAGAACATATGAAGCATCATGTTTATTTTAATTATATTTATCACTTTAGAAATTTTGTGCTCAATGAATGAATTACATCATTACTTCATTGATATGATTAAAAGCAATTTCATATTCGATTAAATTGTCATCGACTGAATAGATTTCGAGGGACCAATTTCTATCTTTTATTCTATATTATCACTAATGATAGATTATATTTTTATCATTATGATCAAAATATAATAGACTAGTCAAATGCTGAATCGTTACAAACTAATTCAGACAAAATGAAATGTGCCAATTTGTTTTCAAGTTCATATCATTATGATCTAGTCAACAAAAGTTAATCCGTCAATAGCTAGTTTTTATATCGTATCAACAGAGAAATAAAAGATCAGTCTTTAAGATTTGAGTCTTCATCATGAAAATGCAATACTACGAAAAGCATGGAATATCAACGGATTTTTTGACAGAACATCATAAGAAATCACATCCAAATGGTCTCACAAAAGACGATCGATCTAGTTTAATCGAATGCACAAGTGTATTGTTCATAAAGAGCAATATTTTGAAAATCAACACTATCGAAAAGTTGTCTAAACAACTAGCAAAAAAAAAAAAGAACTGTTGAAGTGCTCCTTGTATATTATATGAATTTGTTTTTTTTTTCATTATGTAGTTTATTCGAAATACAACATATGATTAGTTTATTATGCAATGAAATCTTTGAAAAATATTTAACCATATTTAAATAGCTGAGCTTGATGATTATCGTCTTCTTTATTATGACCTAAATTAATAAAAAAAAAAAAAAATAATAAGTTATTGAAGTCATTATTATTATTATTATTATTTTGTTTTTTGTACTAACCATAGGCACATAATGAAGATTGAAATGGTAATGGTCGAAGTTGAAAACGATAGTCACATAGAGCTGGATTACGTTTATTTACCCATGGAGATATTTGAAGTCGATTGACTAATGAAGGCAATACCATATTATAATAATTTTGCAATTCATTATCTCCATTTATAATTGGTAAAGGCATAACAAAAAGAAGAGATATATTGATCAATAGAAACATAGAAACAATAACTGAATGCATATTTTTTGGATTAAATTTGAATCTTTGATGATAACAAAAAAAAAAAAAACAAAACAAACTTTTCTAAAAACTTTCAATATTAATCTCAATCTTACCAGTTAGTGATCAATAGTTTACTGAACAAGTTAATTCTATCTGTAAACTAACTAACAAAATTCTGACTCTATATAATCCTAGACTAACAGTAATCAGTACTAAAATTTGATTGAGATGACGTTTAATAACTCTTATAATCGATGTAGGTGTGGATTAGATCATATTAACAAAAGAAAAGAAAAGAAAAAAAAAATTTTTTTTTGCTAGTTGCATGTGAGCAGTTGATTGCCTTTTTCTTGTTTTATATTCTTATTTCCATCACTTGTCTGTTACTGAACACGCACACATTATGCATGTCATTCTAGATTTATTAGAGCAAAAAAAAGAAAAAGAAAATTTTCACTTATGGATATTTTTTTTATTATTATTTTATTTATTCTTTTTTATCATCCCCATCGCATAACATGATCACCATTATGCTGTTCTTCAAGTTTCGATGGTTTGAAATGTTGATAAGTTGATACACGAAACCATGCATTACGATTTGTACGAGGATAATATAATGGTGAACGTTGATATCGATTAAATGATAAAAATTTTGGTGATAAAATTCCTTCTATATTTTCTTCATCAATATCGATCATATCAGAATATTGATCATTAAAATAATTTGAAATATCATTTCGATGAAATATTGGAGAACATGAAATAAATGAAGCAAGAAATAAGAATGAAATAAGTCCAAATGATAATAAAAAATATTTTGACATCTAAACAAATAAACAAACAAAAAAAAATATATTGTTTTCTAAAGAATAGAAAAAAAAATGATTTTGATTGTAATGTTTTTATATAATATATTTTATTTTATAACGGAAATAATACAGGAAAAAGAATTAGTGTAATGTATAATATCAATTGAAATTCCATGTGCGTATATAATTAATTAATCTATTGTGAAAATAATGTTGAAATTAACTCGGAAATGAGTTACAATATAATAAAAAACAATATATGATTTCAATCTTATTACATATTACTATGTTCGTAATAAGAATTTATTCATATTTATCTCTCCTTTACACATATACAATCAACCATAATAATTATATTTACTGATTTAATATAATTAAAAATCTTAACATTCTATATATATATATCTATGGAACAACTCTATTGAATATTAAAATTCATTAAATTCATTTTCATATTGATTTTTTGCAGTAAATTTAAGTATTGTTTCATTTTGATACTGATCTTTAATAATATATTTACGAATAGGAATAAATGGAGCAATATATTTTTGTTGATATAATATCCAAAAATTAATTTGATTAAACCAAGGATGTTCAATAATATCAAGAGTACCACGTATACCACAACCAAGACGTTTTTCAATATTATATTGAAGTAAATTACGTATAATTGATACACAATTTCTAGTTACATGTTTAAGATTCATTAATGCACAACCATTAATTATACGAAGATACCTAGAATATATCTAAGTTGTATGAATTTTATTTCTATCTAAGAATCAAAATTTCATCTCGATGTGATTCAATACAATGAATATTTTCTTCAATGTTTGTAGCTAGATTATAAGATATGAACGATGTTTTCTATGTGTAATGACCTATCCCAAAAGACATCATATACAAGCTCTTCCATCGTATATTAGAACATAAAATCATACGCATCAGAGATAAGAAAAATCTTCTAAGACAAATCTCAATAGGAAATGAATAATTTCTATTGCATTTCCATTTTCTATATTATCGAGATTATTTAATTATAATTTTTATATGATACAATCCTCACAGCATTTTACTCTATGAATGATTTAATATATAATAAATTTTCATTGCAAAAATAGATCAATCGAATGAAATATTCAAAAAAGATTTTTTTTTTTTTTGTATTTACAGATATTTTCTATTATGAATAATATCAAAGAAAAAGAAAAAGACATACGCATACTAAGTATTATAATTGAAATATTGGCTCTTATTTCAACTATAATCATACATCATTCTTCTCTGATTCTTTTCAAACATAATAACAATTCTCAATGGAATTTTAATGTGTCTGCTTTCATTTTAAATTCCATTGTTTTCTGAATTCATCATAGTTTTTCTAAGGTTATTTAGAATATAAAAATCATGTATAATGTCAACACTAATAATAAAAACAATGCCCGGAACGTTCTATAAAATGACTTTTTTTTTACATGTTATAATGCTTTGATGACGATTGAATAGTATCCGATGTGTCATTTTCAATTGTACTCTTCGATCGATAATCATATTCATATTCAATTGATTCAGTTTCATTTGTATTTGATTCTATTCTATATGTTCGATCATAAGGTGCATCACCCGTTACCATTTCATGTATAATTATACCTAATGTCCAATAATCAGGTGATACTGTATATGGACGATGCATGATTACTTCAGGTGCTGAATGAATACAAAAGCAAGATAGGCATAACCTTTGTGTAAAAAGTCTTTGCATAATATATCTAATCAATTTTCTAAGTTACTGAAGAGAAACAAAAGTAATCAGCGAGAATCAGAATTTCATACTTTTTAGAACTGTCTATTGAGAGTTTCTTTTTCTAGCTTGAAGTTAGTTCATTGAGAATAAACCTCTGACAAAGGCAAAAAATGGCGCCTATGCAAAATTATTTTTGTAGTTCAACTTTGTATTTTGATAAAAAATCTATTTCAATTCAAACTATAAGAAAGTAATTGTATAGATTAGGTTGTTGAGTGAGGCCTATTGTGCAAAATATCTACATTCGTTTCCCCTTTTAGATATTCCTAAGGTACCACTAATACAAAATTCGAATGAATTTCTTTTCTTGTTCATTTATATATGGTTCGATAGAGCTTCTTGTGCTGTGTCGGAACGACTTTTCGCGATTCCTGTAATACTTTCAGAATTCTTATCACAATTTTATTTTTCATGATCAGATATGCAATGTTGTGGCAAAGTCTGGAAACCCACACACGAATCGTACAAGATCTTCTGACGAGATTGTTTGATTTGGGATTCGCAATTATGCACTGACTTTTGTTTTTTTAACAGAAGCTATCAAAGTTCGATCACATTAGTTTTTTAAACTGTATGAAAACATTTTATTTTAATTCCACATTATTAAGTTTTTTTAGATTTTGTTTTATTCTTGAGAAGATGGAATTCTTTTCCCTAGTTGATGATAACATTATTAAAAAGCGAACAAATAGCAGATTCTGAATTAGCATCAGAAACTACATCCAATCATATATGTTTTAGTATAAACAGTTTCCGATGGAAAATACACTTGTGATCTCGTCAGACCTATTTTTCTGAAATTCTACCCTCAATCCTCCATACTGACGATTTTTTGCAGAAAAGTAAAAGATTCTCAAAATATATACATATATGACTCGATGCAATTTTTGCCAGTTATTCCGAATCTGTTATCTGTTTCACTATTCAATTATGTTACTACTAAATGAGAAATTCTATTTTCTCAACAATAAAACAAAATCTTAAAAAACTACATAGAACGATCATCAAATTCTGGTTCTAACTGACTCCTTTTGAGCTTCTTCAATAACATCGAGATCTCCGAAAAAAATTACCAAATATATTCACCAATACCGTTTAAACTAGTGTTTTGTGTAAACGTCAGTTTTGTCTGTCATAAAAGATTTGTTCTTAATAAATTAACTTTCAACGAGAAAAAATATTCTTAATATATAGTTAGAGAGAGAGTATAAAAATTCTGATTCTTTTCAGTGACTTAGAAATAAGCAAAAATTGTTTAGACATGTTGCGCAGAGACTTTGAATATGTAGGTCAATTACGTATAGAAGTTGGAAAAAGAAAAAGATAAATACCAATATAATGTGGAGTACCACAAAATGTTTTACTATAACCACGAATAATTTTTGCTAAACCAAGATCAATTAATTTAATATAACCACGTTGTGTTAATACGATATTTTCAGGTTTAAGATCACGAAAGACAACTTTGCACTAAAATATAAAAACAAAACAAGAAAAAAAAGAATTTCTAAATTATGCTTTAAGATTTTTCCATCAAAGTTATTTATGATGTTTATCAACAAGTTAGATATCCTTTATTCTAGCTGCGACGCCATAGCGAAGCAAAGACTAGTCCTTCAACTGATTAATCGCTTTTAAATTGGAATTATATGCATCATGCAGACACTAATAGATTGTAAATACTCCGAAAGGAGCTCGGGGCTCATTGGTTATTGCTGCCAATATATTGCATCTTTTCCATATTTTTTAATAGAATGTCATGGTCCTTCTCAAGAACACTAGGAAAACTGATATCCAAATTTCGATTTGAAACTTTGCATAGAAACAAGCCTTGGGAAGAATAGTTTATTATGAAAGTTTCAGACATTTTCATTATTCATATTGATAGACAGATTTGATGTTCTTATATCAGAATAGGAACAGATCGCATAACCTGATATTCTCACGAGTAACTATTGTGCTTAAGACTTGATTCTATGCAAAGTTTCAAGGCGAAATTCGAAAATCACTTTTTCCTATGTTTCTGAGGATAATACGGTATTTTATTAAAAAATACAATATGTCGGCAGCAATAAGCTATGAGTCCGAACTTCTCTCTGGAGATTCATAGTCGATTTAGGTCTACATGATACACAGGATTTCGATTCAAAAACGATTAATCAGTTAGAAAACTTCCGTCGTGAGCCTTCTCCCTAACTTAAAATCGTGGTGCCGCCGCTCCTGTATTCCTGTTTTGCTTGCATAAGATAAAAAAACAGGTGCAAAAATAAATGTTTGTTTCATCTCTGGTTGTTTATAAATTATTGAAAACAATCAAAATTGATCAATTCAAGTTGATTTCCTATGAGTAAATGCTTGATTTGACAGAAAACGAAATTTCTACAGTATTCTATTTAATCTTATAATTAAAAATAACTTCAATTTTAAACTATAGAAAGCAGAGTCCTAACCAGATTATGATCTTTAGATTTGATCTCTGCACTTTTTTCTTTCCTTAGTGTAATGTACTGTGCTGAAGGTACCCGTCTACTAGGTCTGTTGTCAGCAAGGTACCTGCCCAGTTTCTAATATGAATTTCAATATTTATCATTACTTGCTCGTCGTCTCGTTTTTTCATTTTCAATTAATTCAGCTTACGTTTAATAATCTCTTTTTCTACTACAGATTTAGCAGGTTTTTTTTTCTTCTTAAGATTATTGTCTTTTTATTTCTTAATTTTTCTACATATCATCTCTGTTCAATTCATAAATGTTCAATCTACTATCAAATCTTCTATTGTAAACGTCTCTACAATCTGAACAATTCTTTATAGTGAACTGTGCACGACTTTTTCTTTGACTTCTAACAACCTTCCTAAAGTAAACATTTGTTGGTTCCCTTCTGTTCTCTTATATACATAAGAATAAAACACTTCTATGTATTTCCTTGGAAGTTCACATTAGAGAGTTTTTACTGTATGCTTCTTAAATTGATTATTGTGACTTCTATGCTATCGTTATCATGATAATGACATGAAAAAGAAATAGAGAGATCGTTAGATACAAGTCAAATCAGCGTTAGAAAATGTTTTTTATTTCATTCTCATATGATAATTTTAGAAAAAAAATATTATTGAATACCCCGTGTAAATAATCAAGAGCCATAACGATTTGTGCTGAATAAAATTTTGCTTGAAGTTCAGTTAATTGTTGATAACTCATTAATGAATATAAATCTCCACCTTGTAACCATTCAAATACTAAATAAACATATTCATTATCTTTAAAACTTGTTATAAGTTGAACCTATTTTTAAAAATTTTATAATCAATAATTTTATTTGACTATTATTTATATGTGATAAAAGTAAAATAGATGAAATAAGTCAGTAAATGAAATACTTAAAAGAAAAAAAATCAATAAATTACTTAAATGATCAGTTATTAATTAATTAGATAGGAATTTAAATGATCAAAGATACTTAGAGAAACAAAAAATTGGTTCAATTTCGAAAAACTTATTTTGACAATAGCTTCAAATATTGTCGGACCAATTGAACAAGATCCTTCTTCAATCAACGCAAAAATAATTGCCACACAACCAACGATTAGCAAAAGATATAATTGATATTCCAAATGATTCTTCAAAAAAAAAAAAGCTGTTAGCTCAATCCATATGGGATTAAAATATGAAACACAATGTAGCTGCTGTCCCTAATCACAGGGAGATTGTTTTATTCTATCTATTTTAGGACACATTTCTCCATTATCATTTTACTTAATCCTTCAAAAATGCAATAACGAAATAGATCATTCATTATAACGAGACATTATTCATATACAGTCTATCATCGTATTCCACAGATTGTGTTTCACTAAAAAAAGAAAACTATATATCAGCTCGTGATTTACAATCGATTATAAAATCAAAACGAGAAATTGTTCAAATTAGAAAATATCAATATGCAAGTCACTATGAATATTTGTTCAATTCTTTATCGTTCGTTGAGTCATTTTTGACTCATTCATAGAAACTATCGATTTGAAGTCATTTAGTATCGGATCGAACCGATTCCCGAACATAGTGTAGAGTCTTCAATAAGTTCGAAATTCATAAAAAAAATTAAATTTCTTTTTATCATTTCTTGATGAAGACTTATGAGTTGGAAACCGGTATTTTTACATGACAACTTGGATCACTTTTGACCTATTCATAGTGACTAATATGAAAAATGGTTTTTCTGAAATGATTTTATTTTCAATATAAAATCGTAAATAATACGATCTTTATGCAAAAAACTTGATTACAACTAATAATCAATCAACAAGCGTTTCACAATCGCTTGAAAAAAATCTCTTATCAATAAAAGATAGAGCCCTGTTTCTTACGGTATTCTATTTGGACGAGTTTTTAACAATAAGAATGGATGATTTTGAATCAAGACTAACGATACTGACACGATTATAGATATTGAAAGATCTTATTTCAACCCAAAAATAATCGCCTTTAATCATATAAAACCTTCCGAAGCTGATTAATTTTTCAAAAAATAATTCATGATAAGCAGATTTCCAACTTTATACAGACAAAATAACAACATAACTGCGGAAAAAAAATCAAATTAAAAATAAATTCAATTTTTATGTCACCTAAGACGAATAGATCATTTTTAGCCCATTCTACATCTCTAGAGTGAAATGACTTCGCCTAAATTCAATTATATTCAGCACCTGCATAGACTATTTCCATGGTTGACTCAATAACAATTCTATTGGATCAGTGTCAGAGGATAAAAAGCTAAAATATTGCAAATCATCACAAGCAACAAATACAAGGTCGATCGGTGAGAAAGGAGAAGATTCTTTGAATTTTTATTGAATATTCTTATTTGTTCGATGGCTTACTATGACTAACTTTAGTACTGATCATTTCATCTATTTTACTGACCAAATATCTTATATCAATTTTATTTACAATATTTGGATGATGTAATGCAAATGCATATTGCCTTTCAGAAATAATTGTATTTTGTTCATTTGTTTCAATTAATATAGATTTTTTAATTGCTTTTAATGCAACATATTCATTTGTATCTATATGATAAGCAAGAAAAACTGTTCCATAACCTCCTTCACCTAATTGACGTAAAAGTTTAAATGAATCAAGTGAAAGATTATAATCAGCTCTTAAACGTTTTGTTAAAAGTTTATTAAATGTATCAATTCTATATTGACGTTCTTGTAAATATTCATTTAATTCATTGAATTTTGATTCAATTATTGAAACAAGATAAAAACGTGATCGATGTTTAATTGATCCTACTTTTTGTTGTTTCGTAATATAGAATTGTTTATCAAAAGCAATTGACTTTACATAGGTTATATCAGATATTATATCATGATGTTGTTTCAACAATGAACTCATATCATGAAATTAAGATTTCATTTTACAAAGTTTACTAATCAAAAAAACAAACAAACAAATGATAAGAAAATTATTCTTTAGTAACTATGTTAGTTGTTTTTTTTTGTTATAGAGCGCTGAAGGACGATATCTGGTATTAGTCTGTTCTACATTATTTATTCATATAACCACATCAAAACATTCTGTGGTAGAATTTTTTCTTCTGTCTATTCTTTTTATATGAATGTCTAATTATACAATCTCTTACTAATGGTATGAATATCGACAGAAAAAAAAAGCCAAGTTTATGCAATAACAAGACAACCCTATTACTCATCAATGACTGGAAAGATTATTTATGTTTTTTTCGAGAATTTTCTTTATCCATCATCACACCCACTCGTATGAAGAAAATACGAAGGATATTATTTTTGCTTAGTTAAGTAGATTAGTATACGGAGATATGCTCGTATGTAATATGTCTAAATGAAGGCAAAATCGTCTTTTTTTTTTGTATAATCGTCGTTGTCGTCCTTTTTTCTCTTCTCGCTTTCTTCTGTATTGGTTAGAGACTTATCAATATATCATCGCTGTTGTCGTACCAAACGGCCATCGTTCTCTCGTCTAACCGCAAACGTACAAAATAATATCTTAAGTAACAAGAACGAAAGAAGAAGAAAGAACAAACAACATATCTACTCATTAACGTTGATAATAAACGATGGCTATTCGTGGTTTTTTAACATTATTTATTTTAGCAATTTTCTATTCAACAGTTACAGGTCAAGTTAAAACATGTGAACCATGTGATTCATCGAAATGTCCATTAGTAAATATTCTTCATTTTTGTTTTAATATTTTTGTTTTTTCTAAAATAATATTTATAGACTTCGGACAAAGAATGTATTGCTGGATTGACACTCGACAGATGTGGTTGTTGTCAAGTTTGTGCTCAACGTGAAGTTCGTAGATTATTTATATAGATGATATATATATATATATATTTATATTTATTTTATGAATAGAATGAGCTATGTAATCATCCTGAAATCCCATCAAGCAAACAATATGAAGCATGTGGTGAAAATCTTCAATGCAAGTACGTATCAAATATCTAACAGTTGTTGCAAAAATTCTTCGGACAAATGTTCTTCGATTTGTCATCTGCAAAAAACAGGTTTCGGAAAAACACAAAAATTCTACGTTGAAAGAACTTTCTAACTACGTGTTCAAAATTTTTTTAAACATGCCTTGGCTTTGAGTAACAAATACATATTTAAACGATATCATCGTTTGATTCTCTACAAACCAGGCAGAAAATATTATAATATTGTAATGAAAGTTTTTCGAGATTTGAGTTATATCATTTCATTACAATATTAATATATCGAAACTTACAGATTACCAATATATAATAAAGATAACTGCAAACATCGGAACATGAAACAATACAAAATAATCATCTGTCTTCAAAACGACAAGAGCTGTGCGTTTAAGTCTTTCTTTTGCCAATAAGTAGGTCACGGCGAGACTAGTAGAAGTTTATAAAGATTCGTCGCCATGCGCTATCCTTGCCAAATTATTACAATTTTATCTCGCACAAGATATTTGTGAAAAAATTGAAGTAAGAAATTTCAATCTGAAATTTTGCCCATAGAGTAAGTTTCATGGATCTTAGAATATATTAAAAATTTCAGTCTGAAAGAGATATGTTCTTCTTTCAAAAACAGTCATGTGGCACAAGGAAAGGTAAGAAAGTCCAGTATTTTTAACATTCTATATTTCAGTAACGACACATTCCTGTAGGCTGAACTTTTCAGGTTGAAAGTTCAGACTCCGATTATTTCATCAATACCTTGCTAGAGATTAAAAAAATTAAGTAAAATTGTAATAACTTGCCAAGGATTTTCTTTTGTAAGACAATGTCAGAATATTTTTTGCATAGAGTTGAATAGAAAATTTATTGTAAGAAAAAAAAGCAACACAATCTGATGCAACCAACACGATATAAAAAAAATTTGCTTTTCCTCGGAGTCGTTACGAATTGTTTTTCAACATATTTTTGTTTTTTTTTCTTTTAAACACATAGAGTTCGTGTGAATACTCGTGGAGGACCACCTGAAGCACGATGTGAATGTAATGATCAAACAGAAATGTGTGGGTAAGTTAAATTAATGAATTGTTCTTGAAGTATTGATAATAATATTTAAAAATACAAAACAAATAGTTCGGATGGAAAAACTTATCGTAACTATTGTCATTTAATGGAATCAAGTAAACTTGCTAAAATTGAACAAAAACCAATTATTAAAGTATTTAAACGTAAACCATGTGATTCAGGTAAAAAATAAAAGATATTTATCTCATCTTGTTTAAATCTATTATTTTATTTCTAGTACCTGAAATTACTCTTCCACCTGTAAGCGTATCAAATAAAACAAAAACGAATGTATTTTTAACATGTGAAGTTGCGGGTGTTCCATTACCTGTTGTTGAATGGGTATATCGATCATCTGCTGGAAAACAAATTGTTTATCCAAGTAAGATGATAGATAATAAAAGATTAGATATATATACATATAGAATTATATAGCTGATGATGATCGTGTATCAACATTGGTTCGCGGTGGACCAAATGCTCATGTTGTAACATCATGGCTTCAAATTCAATCTTTACAACGAAGTGATGAAGGTACATATACATGTGTTGCAAGCAATACATTAGGCAAAGTTGAAAAATCATGTACTGTTACTGTAGAAAGTAGGTGAAAAGAAAAGAAAGATGTTTTTTTTTTGGTGTATTTAATTTTTATTTTTATTTAGACGGTCGTGAATTTTAAAACAATGATAATCATTTTTTCAAAATTATTCTATAAACTGAATTCAAAACTATTTTTTATCTATAATTAATTGATTGGTTTGCAGTTAGTCACACAAACTCTTTTTTTTTATTGCTTGTCATTCAATGGGTGCTTGAGTAGACTTTTAGATGCTAGATTTTTCTGTATTATTGTCTTTTTTTATCTTTATTTATCTATTTCATTCATATTGGAATTTGAGAGAACTTTTGACTAAGGAAATATATTACGACAAAATATAATTTAACTATAAATAATCAAAGAAAATGGATGTGCCTGGAGAATGTTTATTCAAAGTCTTTTGTATTGTACTGAAATAGATCTGTAATCAAACAAGATTATTCAGAAAGATTAATTAGGTAAAATACAAGGAGAATAATGCAGATTTTGGAAGATTTCAAGAGGCTCCAATTAAATGAAATCTGCGTACTCTAATAAATCTCAAGTTGAGAACTAAATTTAGTCTCATTTAATGCATTTTACGATGTGAATTATAAATAAAGAATGTAAAACAAGTTTTGATTCTCTCAAACAATATTCTTTTTTGAAATGTTCCAACAGTAGAAGAGATTGATATTCACAGTATACATACTAGACGTCTAGATTTATTCTAAGCTAGAATTTCAGCTTTCTATTTATTATTATTATGAAGATACAAGTAAAGCAAAATTTACAAAAAATTTGTGAATTATTTCTAGAAATAATGATCGACCATAAAGAATTATAATGAAGTTCTCTACAAATCTATATATAATGTGGTTTGAAACTCGTTTTACCCCTCGTACTATCAGCCTGGGTCATTTTTGACTCGTACTCAAAAATTTGAAAATACACTAGAAATATTTTGTTATTTCCTGATTTTTGGAAGTGACTAGCATCTCTTGTGAATTGATATATGTTGTTGAATCTAAAAAGAAATTCATTTGTTTTCTATTTCATTACAAGTCTTTAGTACAATATTATGTCTTCAATATGCAACAAACATATAACAAGAAAGAGAGGTAAGTTACACATTTAATCCACATTTGAATAAATCATCTACCATACTAATTGGATAGCTCAAAATCACTTCAAAAAAATGTTTCTTAATAAATTGGAATAGTAAATGAGTCATTGGGTTTATAGATTGAAAATTTAAATTGTTCCTCTTTCTTGTTATATGTTGGTTGCATACTAAAGACATGATATTGTACCGAAGACTTGTAATGAAATAGAAAACAAATGAATTTCTTTTTAGATTCAACAGCATATATCAATTCGCAAGAGATGTTAGTCACTTCCAAAAATCAGGAAATAACAAAATATTTCTAGTGTATTTTCAAATTTTTGAGTACGAGTCAAAAATGACCGAGGCTGATAGTACGAGGATTAATTTAAAAAAAAATTATAAAAATGCAGTATGTCAACAGCAATAAGCTAACTACACGTACTGTCTTCAGAGTGTTGATTCATTATTAGATTTCACATGATGCCTCTAGTTTCGAGTTAAAAGCTTTTAATTAGTTCGTCTTATTCGTGTAATGCAGTGGTCAATTTTGATTTCTCCTTCTTTCAATAAATGAGGTCCATATGAAAAAAGCACGTTTTAAAAAGATCTTTAGAGTATATAGTTGATTAAATATTAAACGGAAATATCTAGAAAACCTTGTCAATTATATAAGTCTTATGAAAAGTAAACGGCAAGAAGGATTTTGATAGTTTATTTACCACAAATCTTTGTGCAAGATAATTAACAATATTCACAGTATTTGTTAATACTTTTTGACAAGGTATTACATAACTTCTAACGTAAGCTAAATAGCAATGCATGTTAATTATGTACATCGATGATAGTTATCAGCGTTGGTATAGGTCCCGAATGGAATGCATCACATTAAACTTGAATAGAAAACAGAGTATTTGATATTTCATAAGAGGGGTGTGAGTGTGGATGTTAGTGTGGGCGTGATGAGTCTAGCTGCAAGACTAATACCCACACCCACATCCTCACCCACCCTTATCGACTGGAAAAATTTCATTCGGGATATATGTGTTGATTATTGTATCAAACATCCGTCGATGATTGGTGGTGTCGAACATATTGTTGAGATAGATGAGAGCGCTTGGACTAAGCGTAAGCACAATAAAGAGTGATTATTAAACTCTTTGATAGTTAGAATATCT